ATCACAAGAAAAACAATACTAGTGCTCTAGGAAGGAAATTTACAAAAGATGAAGACATAATAGCCAGGCAGGGCATTAATTGTGCTATATTACTCATCTGTCTTTGGCCACTATTTTTTGTTATAATTGGAAGATTAGTAACAGAAGATCTGACTAAAAATACCTCTAACAGTAAGAGATTTGTTAACTCACAAGAGACCCCAAAGCAGGTACCTCTGTGTTCATTAGTTTAGTGGTCCAGTAGTGTCCTTAAGACTCAAGTTCTTTCCATCTTATTCTTTCATCCTCTGGGCATATTGTCTTTGTTCTCAGGCTCCTTCCCTCAACCTCAGAATGACTGTCATGCTTTGAGGCAGCTCACGAAAAAAGGCACCTGTAGGAAGAGCTGAATCTCCTCCCAGGTGGTTTTTATTATGGAGGAAAATTACCAGAAGCCCCCCAGCAAGCTTCTTCTAGTTCCCTTGGCCAGAGCCGGTCACACGCTGATGCCTCTTGCCAGTCTTCTGCAAGGGGGCAGCAGTTTTAACTGACTTTACCCCTGGGGGCAGGAGAGGTGAAAGTGAAAGTCGCTCAATCCTGTCTGACTCTTTGCGACTATACAGTCCATGGAATTCTCCAGGCAAGAGTACTGGAGGGGGTAGCCGTTCCCTTCTCCAGAGGATCTTCCCAACCCAGGCATTGAACCCAGAGATTGAACCTAGGGCTCCCGCATTGCAGGCAGATTCTTTACCAGCTGAGGCACGAGGGAAGCCCCAGGGGCAGGAGAGGGTGGATTCAAATTACCTGAGTGAAGGGAGTGAACACCAGAGCCAAATTAGGGCTCTTGGCCTTCCCTGGTGGCCCCGTGGTTAAGAGACCACTTTCCAATACAGGGGACGCAGGTTCAATCCCTAGTCCGAGAAGATCCCACATACCACAGAGTAACTAGTCCTTGTGCCACGACTGAGCCTGCACTCCGGAGCCCACCAACCATGACCACTGGGACCCACGCCCCTGGAGAAGCCCCCACAGAGAGAATCCCCCTCACCACAGCTATCAAACAGCCCCTGCTCACTGCAGCTAGAAAAAGCCTGCTCCTAGCAGTGAAGACTCAGCACAGCCAAAAATAAAGTTGGTTTCCAAATTAAGTAAAAAAATAAAAGGCAGAGGGGACTCCTCCCGGAAACAAAGTAGGCAGTTGGGTTGGGAAGGGTGTCAGGCGGGCACTACTTAAGAGATCGGAGCATCGTTCTTTGTAAAGCTTAGTTTTGAATGACATTGTTCTCAAATGACCTTTGTGTGTACATCTTTGGGACAGTCGGTTTTCTAGATCCTTTTCTGGAAACAGTTAATGCTTTGTATACAAAAGGCAAGTGGGAATTCCCTCGCAGTCCAGTGGTTAGGATTTCAAGCTTCTACTGCAGAGGGCACAGGTTTGATCCCTGGTTGGGGAACTAAGATCCCGCATACCACATGGCACAGCCAAAAAAAGGCGGGGGGGGGGGGGGCAAGTATTTCTGGAGGACAGTGAGTGGAACAGTTATGTTTTTGTCAACTTTAGTCCGTAGATATGTAATGTCTCCAGAAGTACAACACATGTATTGTCTCCTTTACTTCTCACACAGGTCCCATGAGGTAAGTTCCCTCACTATCCCTATTTTACTTGTGAAGAAACCAAGGCTGAGCTAGGTTTAGCCACTTGCTCAAGGTCAGTAGCTACTGCCAGAACTGGCATTAGACCCAGTTCTGTGTGGCTCTTAAGACGTATACTTAGTCTGTCCTGCCTATATCCAGTTCTTTTCAACTTTGTTTTGATAACTAGTTTCATTTATCTCAAAGAATGTCACAACACACACTGTTTCTCATCTGTATTTGGTGATATGAAATAAATACTGAAGATGTGTTTTGTGAACAGTCAGTGAGCATGTGGTTAAAGCAAATCTTGATATCTGTGTTAGGGTGTCAAGGTTGATTCCTCTAATGCCTGAAAGACCAGATTCAGATTCTAAAGGGCTACAGAGGCTATGGAGAGTGTAATTCAGGACATAATAACTTCTAAGAAATTAATATGTGTTTAGAGATAGGTCTCCTTGCTCTTCCATAACCCTTTCTTCCCAGAGGTTCTCCCTACTCTGTCACCAGTGTGTTTTTATATTAATAGAAATTTCATGCAGGTAGTGTCCAGGGATAATTTCATTTCTAACTGGAACTAAAATTAAAAAAAATGTTTTTGAAACATTTTCAATAGTAAGGATTATTAGTATAATAATAATAAATAGTTGAGGAAAATATATACATATGGAGTAATTTTTCACTTGGTTGTTGTAATTCTTTGTGGCAGCACCAAAAAAAAAAAAGTAGAGGATGAGGAAGGGTGAGTGTCAGGATGTATAGTACAGTAAAAACAGCTAGGTTAGCATAGGTCTTATTGTTGATATTATTGTAACTCTCAAACACCCCAAAGTGAATGTTTTAGCGATATAGCAGGTACATTTCCAAGTTCTTGGTCCACTGGCCCCTCCTGAAGTCCCCAATGGTCTTGGCCAAAGAAGACCGTTGACTTCTTGTCAAAGTCCTGAGTCGTGTTCCACAGAGACTCAGGGTACCATCAGCTTCCAAATCTCCCTCAGACCAGACTTGAGAGAGCTATTCAAAATTGAGCTACATTCATCGGCAGATTCCCAATCCCAATTCTGGTGAGAATTCCTCTAGATTCATTATTTCATCCACCTTTCATCCAACACCTGCAGTCTGCCAGGGACTGTGCTAGGCACTCAACAAAGCCACTGGCCTGAAGGGGGAAAGAATGAGGACATTAGGAATCAGTTTGAAGAAATTAAACCGGTCAGTGGTAAGGGGTTCCTCTTATCCTTCAGTGTTTTCCCAGTTCCTTTCGACAACTGTCGTGTTCTCGTGCCGTGAAAGACTATACTGTCTCACGGGAAAGACCTTCTAGTTTCTTAGTATTTCCTGACTGATTCAGAGATTATTCTGTTCTTTTCCTCTGTTGCTTTCTCTGTTTTCTCTCTTTCCCACTCACACAGTGTACTGGTTACCTATTGCTATGTAATAAACCACCTTAAATAATGACTTGAACAACACTCGTTTGTTTTAACTTTTTATTTTTTAGAATCACATTTAACTTGCAGCTTTCTGAGATGAGTATAGAGGGTTTCACTTTGATTCCGTGTTAACAGCATGATCTGTTGCGTTACCCATGACAGCCATGAACGTATCACACACTGACCAAAAACAAAGTGACTTTGCTTGATTTACTTGACTGGTAATGTTGGTGTACTTTTAAGTATATTTGTATAGCAGTATGTTCTTGATAAAAATGATTAATGTATTTTGAATGCTGTCAGACATTGCTTAAGTTTTACTTGTAGGTATCATCTAATTCTTACAACAGTCTTAAGAAATACAATACTATTGCTAGTGCCATGTTAGAGATGAAGACACTAATGCTTGGGGGGTTAAAAATAGGCCTGGCCTGAGGCCACAAGGCTGCTGCTCACCAGTGCTAATACCATGCTCAAGAAGTTCAGAAAGCAAATCTGCTAGAGTTCAAATGGGTCTAGCCCTTGGATGTTATTTTGTAACTCTTCTTTTAGGTGCACCATTGCACAGCTCAGTTTATCCCTTCTCTAGAAGGGAGTGAGGATGTTTATTTTATTTTATTCAGTTTTTTCTTATAAAGTAGACTTTATTTCTTAGAGCAGTGTTAAGTCCACAGAAAAATCTAGCAGAAAGTAAAGCGGTCCTATGTACTTCTTCCTCTCCAAAGTTTCCCTGATTATTAACAACTTGGATTGTTGTGGTACATTTGTTACAGTTGATGAATTAGTATAGAAAACTTTATAATTAACTAAAGTCCATGGTTTATATTAAGGTTCACTCTTTGTGTTGTACATTTCTGTGCATTTCGCCAAATGCATATGTCATGTATCTACCATTCTAGATTCATATAGAAGTTTCAGGAGTGTTTATTTTAAACCACAGGCTTTGGGCTACTGATCTTATGACTTCAAAATTGAAAACTTAAGCACAGTAGTAGACTATTCAAGGAGAAATTCCCTGGATTGGGACAGTTGCCTTTGGGCGACATTAAATTTCTTTTTACCCCTAAAGAAGGCTATTCTGTGGTAGTTGTTGCTGTTTGCAGTTTTAGAATCTCTGTGTCGGAAGGGACTCTAAGGGCTGTGAAATACAGCCAACTGTCTGATACTTGAACTCTTGGTCCTCCCAAGAGTCAGCTCGCTCTGCCCCAGGCGACCTTGCTATCCTGGGGGGATCCTGCCAGCCCTCTTCCTTACTGCTGAGGGTGAGAGGAGGATCTCTTCTAGTCCAAGGGCTTTTCCTTGTAAGTCTGTAGATGTGGCTTTGGGGTTATTTTAAATTTTTAAACAGTAAAAATGCTTACCTGATCTTAGATATCAAAGAAGCAATGTTTTTATTGGTTATAATTAGACTAAAAGAGTCATACTATAAGTAGGTATGTGGAAGGATATAGGAAGTTTTTTTTAAGTATGTATTTGTATAAAATGATCAGTTCAAATTGATTGTATTTTCGAGTGGCACTGCATATGTTGACTTCTTGTATCATTCTTAAAGTCATGATTTCAGTGGGTCTTGAGTTGGCAGAAGTGCCCATATTTGTCCTTGAGACTCTGATCCCAGTTACAAGGGTTGAGGAATTCTGTGACAGGTATTTAAGGGTAACTCTTGAGAAGGAATATTATATTGTTACAGATGTTTTAAAACAAATACAAAAGTAGACAGAATAGTGTGACAGATCTCTGTGTACCATCTTGAATAGTTACCGAGTATACCCAGTCTTATTTTAAAGTCTGTCCTGGACATACTGTTCCTAAGAAGGAACACATGTTCCTGAAGACATTCAAAAGGGAGGACTCGTTGCTCTGAAACCCTAACGATATCACTTTAATCATCGCTTCTGTCCCTGCACCTCACAAGGCCACCGGTTTTTCCGTACCTCTAATTCTGCTTCTCTTCTCCAGGGCCCAGTCATATATGCGCAGCTAGACCACTCTGGCGGACATCACAGTGACAGGATTAACAAGTCAGAGTCTGTGGTGTACGCAGACATTCGGAAAAATTGAGAAGACCGTGATCACATCCTAAGCAATAAACAAATCCAACCTGGACTCTTGTGCAGAAAATGTAGCCCATAACTGTGTGTGGCCTTGGAAACCGGAACACGGAGAAGCACATGTTTAGTCATAGAGGGAGAAAAAGATGTGTATAAAGGATGTGTATAAATGTTCTATTTAATCTTCCTGATGCAAGGAGCCAGTGCTGCATGATGAAGAGACGGTATGAGTCTATGTGTGTATAAATTGTCTTGCTGTTTTTGTACTTCCCTTCAGGGTCATTTACAGTTGAGGAAATTCAGACACATTCCTATCACCATCATTTAGATGTGGTTTGCCTTAATGGGAAAAGTAGCAGATCTTTTAGTATTCTAATAGACATGGCCTTTTAATATAAGGGCTTAACCCACTTTTGTGTGTATTATAGTTGCAGAGTGGAGATGCTACGATGGAAGCATGTTCAGGATGGCCTTTAGCCCAGGAAATATCGCCTATTTGGCAGTTGTTTTTAGAAAGCATCCATTTGCTATGCCACTTGTGATTTTTGTTGCTATTTTTCTCTCTGAAATACAGGGCAGTTTTCTGCTTTCAGTGTTGTGTAGACCATAAAAGTACACCCTGTAGCATATCATCTCAATTTGTGGATTCATCATAGCAAGATTAGCAGGGGATCAATGCCAGAAGTCATTTCTTTCCCGGTACTTTTAGATCCATAACATAATCAATACATAATTGAAATAGAGAACCAGGAGTGGCTTGAGGAGTACTGTACTATTGGGAGACAAAAGGTATGGTATATTCTTTGCTGAAGTCCTTTGTGCTTGTAACAAGTCCCCATATAGCTGAAGGAGCAGAATTTCATTTCCTTCTAAGTAGGCAGGAATGGAATAATTAGATTGCCAGTCTTTAGTATGGCAGAGTTCTCTCTAGAGAATCTTTATAAAGCTTCAGTCATGCTTCCAGCAGCCTGGCTCCTATAATAATAGCTTCAAGACAGTTAGATTTATAAAGAATTTTTTTCATTTAAAATTGAAAGCTCACAGTTCCAGGAGGAATACTGTCCCAGAACACATTGGGGTAAGTGGGTGTGACCGGTAATGTTAGTTTTCATCTCATTTAGTTTGAGGTCGCCTAAGAGCTGCTTCCTTTTTTCTTCCTGTCTTGTTCTCTTTGAGCGACTGAACTGAACTGAACTGTTCTCTTTCTGAGAGACTTTGAAGGCCAAGTTCTAAGGAAATAAAGAATAATTTAGATTTAAAGATGTCTAGGAGGTGGTTACACAGAGAAAAAGTGTATGAACTACAAACTCTGCCCCATATATACAATCTGGTATTTTCCGAGAGACTATCTGTTGTTAATTCCATGGTGCCCCAACTTACGTTCTGTTGATACATACGTCAGCAGGACTGAGTTTTGCCATCACACACACCTGCCGTCTCTGAACCTGGTTTGTCTGTCTGTGTTGCACGTGGGAGGAAACCCTTTTGGCTGTGCTGCGTGTCCCTCTCTTGAGCCCACAGGCCCCAGGAAGAGGAATGATGAACACTCGCCCTGAGCAGTCCTGCAAAGTGTACCCTGGGGCTTCTCTGCCTCCGCAGGGGAAACTCCAGAACCTTTAGGAGACCTTTTTGTGTAGTGGGGAACAGGGGCCGCGGGGGAGGGATGCGGGCCTTCAGATGGCAGCATTCTTCCGGCTGCCAGGATAAGGACACTCTTGGTGAGCCACCCCCACTGTGAGAATTGTACAGCCGTCCAAGATTTCAAGGAAGAAGAAAATACATTGTGGAGAGCCCAAGGGTATGCATTGATGTGTCTAATTTTCTTAGTCACTTTTTTTTTACAGAGAAAAGGGGATTCTCCTTTTCCTCCTTTCTCAGCAGGTCCAATGAATCTACTATGTATAGAACATTCCTAACACCTCCTGAGAGCAAGAGCCCTGTTTTTCTGTGTGTTTGTGAAGCTCCCACCCAGAGCAGCAGCTGCTGACACGGCTGTGGGCCTCCTCCCCACGTCCACCAGCAAGGGTCCCGGCCTCCTGCTCTGGGTCTGTGACTGACCAGTCTGCGGGGAGCTGCTCACACTGGGCTGGAGCACTTCAGGGTTGGGGCTTTTTCTGAAAACTCCTCATACCACCTCCTATGAATCTTTTGGCCCTTTCTCCTGTGTCCCGACATCCTCATTCCTGGACACAGGCGACAACAGTGGGGCTGCGTCCAGATGGCAGGACTGTCCTTTTCATGTCTGATTCTTGGCAGAATGAGGCCTCTGAAGACTGCACGTGGTTTTTCTAAGGGGGTACCTACAAGGGATTACTTGACATTTACATTTCAAGCTCTCTGTAGTTTTTCAATGGAACTGTATTCAGCCAGGTGAAAAACCCATCCTGTTCATTAATTTCTCTTTTTCAATTGTTGTACCTTTGTGAATATTTTAATACATCTTTTTCAGTTACTGGATTGTGTTGTGTGCTCAGTTTCGATCAAGTGAAGAAGAGATCAACGCCCTCTCCTTAATTTAACCTCTCTCCAGCCACACAGGCTTCTCCTGCTTCAGAAATACCACCCATATGCCTGTCTCAGGCCCTTTGCACCTTCAGCCTAGAATGCACGTTCTGCACATTTGTGTGGTTTGCTCCTTCACTTCCTTTAAGTGTCTGCTCACATATCACCTTCTCAGAGAGACCTTCTGTGATATGTAAAAAAGCAACGGCACCCACCCCTGGCTCTCTCTAAGCCCCTTAACCCTGCTGTTTTTCTCTCTCTCAAACCACACATGTGCTTATCTGTTTTCCCTACCAGAACATAAGCACTGCGAGCCCAGAATTTTGTTCACGGTTCCATCTTTAGTGTATAGCACATTATCTGGCAATTAGCAGTTGCTCAATAAATGTTGATGGATGATGGCTAGACGGATTTATCTATTCAACAAATGTATATCCTGTCATATGCCAGGCACTGTGCTAAGCATAAGGAACACATAGCTTCTCAAGGATCTTGCCACAGTAGAGGTGGGAGAAGGTGACATGGAGTAATAACAGCTATTAGATAGTAATACTTTCTGTATGCCAAGAATTTCTTGCCCTGTTTAGCACTATGAGTCAGTGCTAGTTGCAAACTGAAACTCACTTTTAGAAAGATAAAGTCAGTATTTTACAGCAGTATTTTTTTGGATACATCTCCAAGAATAATACAATCAAAAGCAAAAATAAACTAATTGGACCTAACCAAACTTACGAGCTTTTGCACAACAAAGGTTACTACAAACAAAAGAAAAAGACAACCTATGGAATAGGAGGAAACATTTGCAAAGATGCAACTGACAGGGCTTAATTTCTAATATATATAAACATCTCACATAGATAAATATATTAAAAAAAAAAAACTAATCCAAAAATGGGCACAACTTAAGTAGACATTTCTCCGAATAAGACATACTGATAGCCAACAAGCACATGAAAAGATGTTCAACATTGCTAATTATTAGAGAAATGAAAATCAAAACTGCAATGAGGTATCACCTCACACCAGTCAGAATGGCCATCATCAAAAAGTCTACAAATAATAAATGCTGGAGCAGGCATGGAGCAAAGGGAACCCTTCTACACTGTTGATGGGAACATAAATTGGTGCAGCCACTATGGTGAACAGTATGGGGGTTCCTTAAAAATCTAAACTCAGATCCATGATCCCACAACTCTGCTCCTGGCCATATATCTGCAAAAGGTGAAAATGAATTAAAAACGGTACATGCACCCTAATGTTCACTGCAGTGTTAGTCCCAAGAGCCAGTTCACAGAAGTGGCCTAAATGTCTACTGACAGATGAGTGGATGAAGATGTGGTACAAATATACAATGGAATACTAGCCAGCCATAAAAATGAATGATAAAATGCCATTTGCAGTAACGTGGATGGACATAGAGATTATCATTACTAAGTGAAGTAAGTCAGGTAAAACTATAATACCACTTATATATGGAATCTTAAAAAATGATACAAATGAACTTATTTATAAAGCAGAAGTAGACATAGAAGGCAAACTTACATTTCCCAAAGAAAGGTGGGGTGAAGGGTAAATTAGTTTTGAATAACAGTACTCTGGTGATCCAGTAGTTAAGACTTAGTGCTTCAACTGCCAGGTTGGGAGTTTCACCCCTGGTCAGGGAACTAAGATCCTACATGCTGTGCAGCAAGGCCACACATGAAATAAGAAAGACAAATGCAATCCCTATCAAATTACCCATGACATTTTTCACAGAACTAAAGCAAAGAATCCTAAACTTTTTATGGAGCCGTGAAAGACCCAGAATTGCCAAAGAAATCCTGAGGAAAAAGAACAAAGTGGCAGGAGTCATAACCCTCCCAGATTTCAGACAACACTACAAAGCTACAGTGATCAAAACAGCATGGTTTTGGCACAACAATAGACATATGAATAAATGGAACAGATATGGATCCCAGAAATAAACCCACACACCTACAGTCAATTAATCTTTGACAAAGGAGGCAAGAATATACAATGGGAAAAGGACAGTCTCTTTAGCAAGTGGTGTTGGGAAAATTGGACAGTTGCATGTAAATAAATGAAGTTAGAATACTCTCACACCATACACAAAAATGAACTCCAAATGGCTTAAAGACTTAAAAACAGGACACCATAAAACTCTTAGAACATTAGCAAATCATTCTGACACAAATCATACCAAAGTTTTTTTAAGTCAGTCTCCCAAGGCAAAAGAAATAAAAACAAACAAATGGGACCTGATCAAACTAACAAGCTTTTGCACAACAAAGGAAACCATAAATAAAACTAAAAGACAACCTACAGAATGGGAGAAAGTATTTGCAAACTATGTGACCAACAAGGGCTTAATTTCCAAAATATACAAAGAACTCATACAACTCAACAACAAAAAACAACCCATTTGAAAAATGGACAGAAGACCTAAATAGACATTTCTCCAAAGAAGACATACTGTGCTCAGTTGCTAAGGCATGTCTGACTCTAGCC